GTCATTAGCCACCGGGTACACCAAGACTGCACGTGGTTAAGATTTTGCTGTAATGTATCTGCTTCAGTAATATTGTTAATGGTATGATAAATCACGCAGTCGTCTGCGAACATACGGATTTTACAAGTGACATGAAGGGGTAAGTCATTGATATATACCAGAAAAAGGAGTGGGCCAAGAACAGACCCCTGGGAAACACCTGAAGTAACCGGAAGTGGGACGGAGGACTGATCACTGATGTTGATGAATTGCGAACAGTTGACTAAGAACGCTTCAAGCCATTTTAATACTTTGGAGTTTAGGTTTAAGAAGGAAAGTTTCTGTAACAAGTGTCGGTGAGAAACCTTGTCAAAAGCTTTTTCATAGTCGAGGAAGATAGCGTCAGTTTGTCCGTTACAGTCAAGATTCGTATGAAGGTCGTGAATGAAAAGAGCTATCTGCGTTTTGCAAGAAAGGCCCTTGCGGAATCCATGTTGTGCAGGATGAAAGAAATGATTGGCATCCAAATGGTCCATAATGAGTGAGTAAATGACGTGCTTCATGATTTTACTTGGCAGACTCGTGAGGGAAATGGGGCGATAATTTAGCGGGTGAAGCCTCTTACTTGCTTTGTAGACGGGAATGACTTTTCCCACTTTCCAGTCGTGAGGCATGCAACCTACTGAAAGCGACTGAGCAAACAACAGACACAAAAATGACGAGGATATATCTTTAGTGTTTCTTAACAGTTTTGAGTTAATACCATCGATACCGGCACAGGAGGAAAGTTTTAGGTTATCAATCACATTGGATATACCATCTACGCTGAACGTAATGGCCGGCATACTGGATACTATGTTGCTAGACAGTAAAGGCAGAGGAGCACTAGTATCCTTAGTAAAAACTGAGACGAAGGCATTGTTAAAAGTTTTGGTGCAGTCAGTATCAGACATAGTGTTCCCCGAATCATCAGCAAGTGTTAAGGCGCTAACATGACTTGGGTTTATTACTTGCCAGAATTTCTTTGGGTTTTCTCTAAGTATTTTGGGCAAGTCATTGTTAAAAAAAGCATGCTTGGCATCACGAACAGCAGATAGATACATTTTTTTCGGCAGAATAATATTTTTTCCAAGCGTTAGCATTCGTACCCTGTTTAGCAGCTCGGAAAAGTCTTTTCTTCTTATTTTCTAAACGTTTTAAGTGATTCGTGAACCATGGCATCTGCCGATTCTCACGGAAGGTAATTTTCAGTATATTTTTCTCTGCTAATTGAATTATTTTACTTTTAAAGAGCACCCAGTTATTATCAATAGATTGCTCGTGAAATTGAGACACAAAGTTGGGTAAAAAGGCAGCTAATTCGTCATTAATGGCTTGGAAGTTTCCTCTATCGCATAGGCTGATTGTTTTGCTACATTTTGCACGTGGTGGTGCGGAAAATAAAAATGTGGCGTGAAGAACTTTGTGGTCACTGATAGGAGGAAGAAAGGTTAAAGATGATAAGCTGTCTGGGTGATTAGTTAGTATAAGGTCTAAGACGTTCGCACAGTCACGCGAAACACGTGTTGGTTTGAAAACAAGCATTGAAAGATTAAAGCTCTTCCTCTAAGGGGAGGCAAGAAGAAAAAACGGGTTCAAAGGAGCGGGCGGTCGGGGGCTAGTGTGATGGGGACATAAGGGGTGCATGATTTCAAGTTATAAAACTTTGTCTTTTGAGGTAAAATGTTTTTACACGCCACCCTCAAGAAGGCGAGTAGGTTTTCGATGCACTGCTTTCGTTCTGTACATCTAGATGGTGCCAGACAAAGATTTTCGTTGTAATGGTGAAAGTAAGGTAGATTTCTCAGTAATTATGTAGCATTTGTGGATGATTTATGTGTGTACCTATATAGGGAGACGGGAACTATTGTATGGTAAGCTATACATGCTGAAATATGAACACAGTTAAAAAATTATTGAGGTTTTGGTGGCATTAGAGGCATGATAAATTCGGACAATTCAGGAGCTCCGTTTCTCATTTCTACTAGCTTTATTGAAAAACGCTGTGTTGAGGAAATTGATGAGGTTCACTAGTTCTTCGTGCAAAATCAGCCGCCGAACTTTGGTATTTTTCCACAAAAATGGGCAGAGATGGGTCCTAGTATGGAGAAAATTGCCAAATTCGAATCACTATAAATAAAAAACCAGAGTGCATAAAAGAGCGAAAAACACACAGATAGGGAATGTTGTTTTCTTTGTACGTCCAGAAAATGAACCTCCTCTAGCGAGTAGTGAACGGCCAGTCTACAGGTAAAGTTACTAAATTTGACTGTTTTCAAAAGACAACCAACAATAAAGTAGAAGTCCTACATAAATTTGCTATGTTGAGGAAATAGATAAATATGTTCTGAATGCGCTGTGCAAGAAACAGTGCTGTAACTGTAGCAGCTTTTTCAGAAAATGGTTACTAGTGAGGCATAGTCAGCCCAAACTTTGTAAATAGTGCGTTAATAGCACTTATTCTTGCCTTGCCATCCCCAAACGGTAGCGATTCATTTGATTTTATTAGACATATTTGAAAAGTGCAAAAGTCAAGCTTTTCAATGATTTATAATTCAACTATACAAAACAAGGAAAATAGCTGCCGCATCAGATAAGTCGCAAAAACGTTGTGTTCGGGCCGCCGGAGTGAGAACGCCGCCTCAAGAAAGATGCCTTCATCCTCTGATCATTACGGTGCCAATAGTGCTGTAAGGATATGGCCTACATGCATCTAGGTAATTGCATGTTAAAAGCAAAAAGTGGCCCCTCGCCGTTCCCACGTTCCTTTTCTTTGAGCATTTTTGTCATAGCTGATTATTCGAAAACTATATGAAAAAATATTTGGAATGTCAGGTATATACTGTTCAATTTTATATCACATCAAATAAACACTATTCAATTTCCTATTTGAAATTGTTAAATATTTGCTCGCTCCTAATAATAATTATAACATAGTATACCAAGACTAGCAATAATGTGTTAATTTGCTCTGTACTGCCTTCTCATTTTTGCCAGTAGATAAAATTGTATAACCCATTGACATAACACTTGTATTTTGAATGGTTTTGGCCTTGAGAGAATCAATAAAAACAAAGATAAATAAACATTTACAAATTTCAAGTGATACACCCAGAAGTTGCGAAGAAGTTGACAAGTAATTGACCTGGTATTCTGGATTGGTCTTTACCCTTATCTGACAAGCCTCTTCAACGTTGTGCATTTCCTGCGAGTGAACATCATGCTGACTGTTCCATCTACATCACGCAAGAGATTGTGGCACAAGGCGACAGTACATTAAGTACACAGCCGTCTTCACTGATGGGCAATATGACCAGACAACCATCACGGAAGAGGGCATAATTGAATATGACTTCGTTGAATCTCTGGGACTATTTTCTGTTCTAGTGATAGGATTCCCCCCTCCCCCCAGCTGGGCAAATGTATATGATTGAAGATGAGGACGGGTGTATGGTGGCATTAAATAAGGAAGATGATGTTCATGCAATAGATGCATAGGTTTTTGTGTTTAAATGAAGATGATGTTCATGCAATAGATGCATAGGTTTTTGTGTTCAACATACAGCAGGTATGACCCCCACTACAAGTCTCCACTGTTCACAGTCAGGAGTGCTGTTAATAACTGTAACAGTGGCTCTTCCATTAAATATCCACATTTCCTTGAGAACCTTGCATGCGATATAACTCTATGATTATTGTGTGTGCACTAAAATATGGAAAAAAAAAAGATTCAGCCAGCTTCGTTTGGCAGACACTGCTGAAACAGTGAATCTGGTGGCGTGCAGTGGGGTTGAATGAAGTTCGAATCATGTGGCATGAAGTTGGCGACTGAAGTGGGAGTAGTGACAGGAGCAGTAGTGGTGAATTTGGGAGTGGTGGGAGGAGTGGCACATACAGTGGAATCTGCCGACTTTGTGTGCCTAAATACATGTATGATTTATGACTATCCCCAGGCATAAAAACGTCTGCCAAGAACAGCTTTGCTGCTAAAAAAAAAATCCTGAACAAGTTTAGACATAAATGTTTTCTATTCAAAGCGTGTGCTGAAAATCAAAAGGCTGTAACCATGCCATAGCATCTCTGATTTTTTATTTGTCATGCCATTGCTGGCAGTATGCGTAATGGTGTCAAGTGTAAGTCAACTTCACATTCAAGTTAACCTGAAATTATGTAAATAATATGGTAAGTCACACACCAGTGAAAGCATAGACATATCTTCATCATCATCAAAATATGTTCATCACTAAGCTAAATTTATGGCACAATTCTATCTTATATATTGGACTGGTCTTAGTTCCAGGAACTACTAAGTGGGTGGCCACTAGTGCAATAAGTTATCCTGTTTTCGCCATGTTTCAGTATAATTTTTGTCAATATCACTAGGCAGAATTGAGAAAAATATTCAATTAAATTTGCATCATACTTCAATGCTTGAATTTTCTTCACAACGGAATTTCTGAAATTCATAAAGCCCTAGTACATGTCTTTCCACTTAGACTTGCACAATGAGGCACAATGGTGTACCTCATTATGAGCAAAATAATCAGCATCCCTCAGCATTTTACTACAGTTGAACCCCTTTATAAGAGGCATGCTCCAGGCAGCAATTCTTGTCTTTTACACAAGATGTCTCTTTTAAGCAGGGTACCTGGTATGCATTTTACAAATTAACCCATATATTACTTTGGGCACACTGGTGTCTCTTATACCCATTTGTTAATTATATCAGTGTCTCTTATAAAGGGGTTCGACTGTATTATGATCCTGTAGATTGTTAATATTGTTGCACTTTTCTCATCCCTAAAAATTATTCTTCAGAATGATTTTTTAGCTCTTACAATTATTGCTTAGTTATCTCCTCAATTTTGTGTGTGTTGGTTTTTCTGCTAGCTTACAGCTGTAAAATGTTTCCCTTCCAATTTGCCAGATTTTAAGTTTTAAGCAATGTTCTTAGTGGTATTTCATTTTGAAATGTTCTGCAGTGACACAGTGATCTGTTGTGAGCCAATCGAGGTCATCTCTCACAAGATCGGAGTCTGCGGTGTGAGCGCCCATGGGAAGGAGTGCAAGACAGAGTTCAAGAAGCTTAGCTACAATGGGAAGTCCAGTGTTTTGCTGTGTAAGTTGATGAGTTATTGTTGCACTTGATGTGTTTAGTGCTGTATTTGCAACAAGGCTTGGAAGACATTCCTCAAGGTTTTGATTAGTGCCTTATTTTGCTCAATTTTACACGGATGTAATGATGTTGCTAGGGTGAGCCTTTGCTTGCTATGGTCTAGTTTCCATTCTTTAGGCCTCTAATTTTTTTATTCAGTGATGTTCATTATAATTTTCTACAGTAAAATCTTATATAAAGGATTGTACAGAGTGTTTTGTCTGCAATGCTGACATGTTGGTTGTGATTAGTTATTGGAAATCTTACTGTGTTAACTGTGCAAGGTTTGTGTTTTGGCTCACAGTCAGATATTGTGGTGTTCTACGGTGCTCATGTGTAATTGTTCTGCTGTAGTGAAGGTAAATCTTTTTCTCTGCTTCAGGCAAGCCACACACCGGCCGCATGCATCAAATCCGTGTGCACCTCCAGTTTTTAGGTGAGTACATACTTTTACAGGTTGGCTATTCTTAAAGGAGTACAACACAAAATTTTGAAGGCAAGATAACTTGTAAAATAGATTTGTGTGAAAAGAACGCGCTATCTACAAAGTATCTATGGCAAATATAGCCACAACATATTCAAAACCAATATTAAATTGTGTGCCATGCTAGGCATGCAAAACGGAGCACCTTGTGACGTTTACATCAACTTTGCTTGAGTGAAACTAACCATGCTTGGTTCCCCATCTCTCAACACTTTCTTATTTCCCTCTTTTTTCAGTGTCCTTGCGTATTCGTGTATGCAAACAAAATAGTAATAATAATAATAACAATAATAATAATAATAACAGAATAATGCTTTCTGAATCTAAAACTGAGGCTAGACACTATGAAAATGCCTACAAATTATTGAACAATGTATGCTCAAGCGAGCAAGGTTTCCAGCCATGATAAGTGGGTCATTAGCCTATTAATGCAACAAAAAACAAGATATAAAATCCTTGCATTGGTTTAAAGGGGCCCTGAAACACTTTTAAGTAACCATAAAATGAATGCACTAAAAGAGTTTATTGCCCCACGAATTCAACAGCGCAAAAATTTTAAGAATCCGTCCATTGCGAGTGGAGTTAGGAAGATTCGTCGTATGCTGCAATTGCATTCTCTCTTCTCTAGTCCTGACGAAAGCACTGGAAGCTAAGCAGGGAGAGATGGCAGGGGCAAAAAAAAATGTTATCCGCGCCTTATGACCTTAAGCACTTTTTTCTCTTTTTTTTTTCTTCGAATGCGCGGCTTTTTCAATGTAATCGTGCGCACACACGTGTATAAGTCGTGGCCTCCCGCGGCGATGTCTGTAACGACTGAGCGCGCCATGTTCAAATCAGCCAATGGCTGATAGATGGGCTTTCTACGAGTGATTTTTTAACGTCTTCAGTCATTTGTCGAGAGAAGAGAAAGCAATTCTTAGCTGACTATGATAATTTATTTTGAATTCCAGGCTGCGTGCTGTGCTAAAATATTTGGCTCATGTCTTGTTGGGAGCCTTTACTACCGATCAGCAGCGTTTTCTGACCAGGCGCAAAAAGTGTTGCAGGGCCCCTTCAATGTTATACAAGTTTGAGTTGTCGAACTTTGCCGAGAAATGGTAATTGCACTGAGAAATTGGGAAGTGCATTTGGTGCATGAAGTGATAATAAAAATGATGAACAAAATGAAGACAATGAACAGTTACAAAAAAGAGAGTATGAACTTCCAGTGAAAATTTTTTCAGGATAAACAGCAGGGTGCCACTTGGCCAATGCAATCTAAAGTAGTCATGCCAGCTGATGTGGCTGATAGTGGGTGGCCGCTGTGAAGAGAAACACGTGTTACTATGACTCACATGAGAAAGAACAGAAAAATTATGAAAAGACAAACCACTCATCTCTCAGCTTCAGACAACATGACACTGAACGGTATTTAGGGTATCACAATTCTGTTATTTGCTGTGTACGAATGCCTGACAGAACTTGTGAGATGCGAGTAAGGTGCCAATTTCTGGAGAGCCATTAACTTGCAATGGGTATGCCGCTGTCTGGTGTGGGACCAAAGCAAGATGACAACAACGCAGTCAATCAAGTATGCTGCGTGTTGGCGGTAGCCATGTGTACCTGAGCTTGTTTTTGCCTGGATTTCTGGCTGCGGAAAGCCTACCGTTTCTTGTACTCGCCCTAGACATTCCTCGTTGCGTTACATCTCTCCACTATAACTGAGGAGGTGAAAATCAAGCATGCTCTTGCATCTAAGGTGACACTTTTCATGTACTGCTTACGCGAAATCTCACCATGATTGCTATACTTGTCTCAATGTGTTAGAGTTCTGATAAGTTGTGTAGTCAGTGCGCGGTCATCTTATATGGCACCCGGCACGCTATATCAAGCTTGCAGCAAGCTGCCCACCATTCCAATCAACAGCCGCTGCTATCTATAATCAATGACCTTTATCAGTGCACAGGTACCTCGTCAGCATCTCATGCACGAGCCTGCCCAGTCTTTGTGGACCTCCAACATTTTATTTAGACTCAGGTTGCTGAGGCCATTTATTCTATACACCAACAGCCACCTGTCACTAAGTTGCCCACCTATGCTGCCTTTGCAGCTCAGCCTTCTTGACATCTTGCGCGAGTGCTCCACCTGCGACGCTGAACCATGTCTTGCCAACAACCATTAATGCTTTGCTGTTTAGCTTTTTGAGACTTTTGGCTCTGTTTTTCCACCGCCGAGATACACGGTGAATGCTGGTATATAAGCCCGTATGCTTCACCTGTGGTGGTACTGAACGTGTTTTCCGCCACTGTGAAAGATGTCCGCCTTCTTCATTTGATATAGTGGGCAGGCTTGTTTGCCACCAAGGTACACCCCTGACGATCAAACACCCTATTCCAAACACCGTTCACCCTCTCTGTGAAGAGACTCACTGTCACACATGTGTAGTCGACCTACTACAGAAGAGGGAAACTCATTGCTGCATTTGTAAAGTAAGAGCTGCACAGGAATCGAACTGCTTGAGGCCTCCGTCTATTTCGCTGCCATACATTGAATGTCGATGTTGAAGAAACTTCTCCGCCAGCACTTATTGACATGCAGGCCACCGTTTCCGTAATCTTCAGGAGCCTATGCCACAAGACAAAGAATGGCGGCAACATCACTCTTGGGACTAATGCTCCTCATTGCCAACTCGCAGTACATTGCCCTTTCAGCTTGACCACAATGCTTTATGCGAATTTTTAAGCGACAGAGGCCGTTCTTACCTGTTTGATACTTTGCAAGCCTTGCTCGCTCGGTGCAAAATTGTTCATTTCTTGACAACAGCATATTGTCTGCGTGCAAACAAATGGCCCAACTTGCTTTCTCGGTGCTGACAGTGTACATCACATTGGGCCAGACCAGTTGAAACGTCATCCTTCTTTTTGTTGCATATGCATACGATACTATACTTACAATCACAGGATTCTCACTGTTCTTTTCAACTGTATGTATCTGAGCCATCATATTATGGCAATAAAATGGGACAATCTTTCAGATGTTTATGTCCAAGGCGCATGCACTTTAGGGAGACATTTGTAAGCACTGCAAAAATGGCAAGCTGCATGCATCTCACCGTATTTATGTGTGCCAACATGAATGCAATCATGCAAGCAGCGTATGTCTCACACTTTTCATTGGAAAGCAAAAAAAAATCTCAGATGCTTCTGTGGTGCCACAGGGATGCTGGTGCACTGCCATCACAACCACAACGCATGAATAACACGAAAACTTTTTTAGAAGTGGCTATTAGAGTTTACCAAAATATTGAGCAATTTATCAGAAAGGTGGTACTCATCGTTGATAATTCTATTTTTCAGCACTCCATGCCTAAACTGTCAAGCGGAAAAGCTTTTTACCTACCATCAAATATGACGGCAGGTTTCCAGCTCGTGACTGGATGCATGTGATAGAAAGCAGTATGGCAATCAGTGGTTTTTATACTAACTTTGTGTATCTCCCTTCTAATCACACCACCGGCTCTCCCAAATGCGTACTGTAATATCCCCCTTTCCGTGGAAAAGCCAACCTCTTGTGAGGGACAGCCAACTGGTTTAGACTTTCACGACTGCTTGATTGATGTACAAAGTGTTTTTTCTTTTATGAACTACTTTATTGAAGCGTTTTTTTGCCAAGAAATATTTCAATACAAAGAATAATTTGATATGTGGGTCAATCCATGCCAACTGTTCTAGCCTTGGCACTCAACCATCTGCGATTTGCTTGAAAAAAAATTCAGGACTATCTACCTGAAGAAAGTGCACCCCCAAAACTTTTCTCATAAAAAAAAAAATTAGTACCGCAAGCCTCATGTAAATTTTTCGGACAGCTCGAAACCATGCCTAGTAAAACACCTTGTAAGAAAATTTGTTCTTCCGAAATTAGGTCAAGACAAGTCTTCACTGTTAGAACAATGGTAGCCTTCTTACTTAAAATAAGTTTTATGGAACTTCACGCTTTTGTGGGTTTTTATGCAGCCTAGAACACAGAGAATATGGTCCTTATTAGGGATTTTTTTTATAGAGTCACAACGTAAATGTGATTGTAGACTAAGAATAGTTTCAAGCATATGTAGTGCGAAATAAAATGCACAGGTGGTATCAAAGTTGCAAAAATATTTATTTTTGGACTTAATTGGTCATAAATTCAACATTGAGGTGGTCCTAGTAAAATTATCCCAATAGCAGATTTACTAGTGACCTTCATTGGCTTCTCACTGAAAAGTTTTATCAAACTAGTCTTTGTTTTAAGTGACAAAAATATTTTATAATTTGTGTGTTGCCGCTCTCTGTGTATGCCCGAATCCATACATCGTAGCAATACGTCCTGGCGATAAGTACAAGCTGCATGAACGTGCATATAATCTAGACAATATAATCAACTTTGTCAATGCTCACTTAAATTATTTACGAGCTAGTATTAGTCTGAGTCAACAAGAAAGGTGAGATATACTAGGCTGCATTTAATAACCACATGCAGCTCTCTGCTGGCAGCCTGCGTAGTATGCTTATGCAGCATCAGGAAGTGCTACTCGTGTGTGCAATACACCGTTATCTATATGCTAACATTTGGAAGTAGGAAGAGCACTATGATTAAGAAAATGATCTATATAAAAAAATTGGCTCGCTTTATGGGTAAGTTGCAATTAAGACCAACATAATCATATGCTGTAGACTCTCCATAAATGTAATCTCTTAAATGGATCTGCTGCTTAATCAGACCAACAGCTGTCTCTCACACGATTGGTTTCGTACCTGTAATTTTCAGCCTTATTGATCTCTCAGTAAACGGAGCTCCTGTTAAATGGAACACATCTGGTCCCTTGAGCTTCCATTTGTAATTGTGTAATTGACCAAATTGCACCAGTGACCATATGTTGGTGCATAACTAAAACTTAGCAGCCGTGCAGCACATATTTTTTTACTTCAATGGATCCTTTACTTGATGATGTTCATATTACTTTTTTTTACCGTATAGGTAACGATGTGCTGCACACATCACTACCACTTCTCGGTGCTGAGTAAGCACTCTACGCAGGCTGCCAGCAGATAGGTGCATCGGGTTAAATGCAGTCTAGTAGGTTTCGTGTTTCTTATTGACTCAGGATAAAACTAGCTAGCAAATAATTTGAATAAGCACGAACAAAGTTGATTATGTTGTCTATATAATATCCACATCTTTGCTGCTTATACTTACCGCTAGGACGCGTTGCCACAATGTACAAACATGTGAAAACACAGAGCGGTAACTCACAAATTCAAAAATATTTTTGCTTAAAACAAAGAACAATTTGATAAAACTTTCTGAGTGAGTAGCCAATGAAGGTTGCTAGTAAATCTGCTATTGGGCGTATTTTTACTAGGACCGACAAAAAATAAGCGTTCGTCACGGGTGCAAGGCACTGTTGACGAAGTCAGAATGAGCCCCAATCAAAGGGAGCCGATGGACGGAAAAGAAATGCTTGCTTACTCCATGTAGTCCCCGGAAAGGTCTCTCTCACTCCCGACGTGTGCACCGAAACGTCCCGAGAGACTTCGCGCACGGCGCCACAGTCGACATCCACTACCGGGTGAGAGGGGTTAAACGTCACTCTTCGCTCTCCCAGTGCGCCAGACCACGGAGGAAGGGGTTATGACGGGACATGAGAATGGAGAAAAAGGCGGCAAAGCCCGCGCAAAGGTGGCGGGCTAGTCTCGATTCCCACAAAGTAAAAAATCTACCATTGTCAAGCAAGTTGCAGATGGTTGAACGCCAAGGCTGGGATAGTTGGCATGAAATGACCCATATCCAAATTCGATATATATGTGCATTCTGCTGTATGAATAAAAGCTCATATTATCAGAGAAATAAAATGATAGTAGGCCAACACTTGCTTGTTATTTATTGCTGGGGCCCTGGCACATTAAGGACTAACGAAAGTTCAGAACATAAATACGCACATGTGATTACACTTTTCTTATATTAATTTGTTTCGCTTTTTTTTGCTTTCAGGTTACCCAATCGTTAATGATCCACTCTACAATGACACAGTTTTTGGGTCTCAGAAAGCTAAAGGTGGCATTACAGAGAAAACAAAAGAACAGGTATTGCCAGTAAACATTCATGTGCAGATTAATAGTACTTTTTGGATTATATTTTCTGGCCCTTCGTGATGCTGTGTGATGTGATTTCAGTTGGTGGAGGACCTTCTGGAAGTACATAATCTTAAAAAATGGCTGGGTCCCGAAATGGACTTGACTCCAGGTAAAAAAAAAAAGTTATTGATCTTTAATAGTATAAGTTTACATGTTAAAAATTCAGAAAATTGGCTATAATACAAAGCATGTCTTCCGGTAACGCGCAAGATACAGCTTCCACTAGCAAGGCACAGTAGTATTATGTACAATTTAGAACGTTTATCAGGCTGATTCTTTGCAGTAGTAAGAAAACACCTTGGAGGAGCAAGACATAACACAGCTCTTTTGTGACTGTTACACGAGAGTAGAGGTGGAGCACACTTCTGCTTATGACAGAGAAAAGCGTGTTTTTTTTTGGGGGGGGTAGAACATAAAACATTCGTACAATCAGGATTCTAGTCTTGAGAACACTTACGATTTTGTAGCTTTGACACTGTCTTTAGTTAAACATAAAGTATAGGTTATGGTGATTGGTTGTTAGGTATTGTTCCATTAAGTTGAGTTCTGCACTGTGTACATTGAAGTACTCGGCACATGTGCGTTCAATGTCACACCTCTGTTTTATGCACTAAAATTTCGTTGATATGAATTCAAACGGAGCACGCAAAATATTCATATCGTGAATTCGTATGCACCAAAAAAACAAGTTAAAGCTGATCATGAAGATGAACGAGAACTTTATTGTTGTCAACTACCTAAAAGTCCATGATGTTCTTTTTAACTTTTCTGTTTTCACTGCCTCTCAATAAAGTGCCGCAGTTTCCTCACTCAGGCCGCTGGTGCTATAGTTCACAGTTGGCATCAAAGAGAGCATAAGCGGCAAAACTTATTGAAAATTCACGTGCTTTGCCGCTTAAGTGATTGTAAAACTTTGCCACAAAGTCAATGCGAAAAAAAATCATTGCAAGAGAATTCACACTCAAGAATTGAAGCGAAAGCGCCAGAGTGACAGCAAAATCACGTCCCCGTCCGTTGAAAATGTTGACATTCATTCTGCCCCTTGTATACATGCCAACGCTGCCAATTTCGCCACATGAGAATTTATTCCTGAACATTAAAATCTCCACCGAGTTCTAGTTATGCATGCAAAGCACTGACAAGAAACAACTTACACCTTTGAAAACATTGTTTTGGGAGATATTTCAGAACAAACGATTCGAGCAGATGCAGTGGCACTGGCGGTGACGGATTCAGCCAGCAGTGCAAAAAAGAGACACATTAGGGTGTGCTGACTCTATTCTGCTGCCCCTTCTTCTTCTTCCAGTGTTCGCAGCGATTGTAATCAAAACGCGTCTTTTTCAAAGCCGTGAGCCTTGTCGTGCTACGCGGGTAGTTTACCATTGCGCTGATGCGAGCCACTGCACCTGCTGACGCCTTGGCCGTCATTTTGAATGTACGGCTGGTTGTTTACATCATGTGGTTCGAGAGCTAGTGAAGCCAGTGTAAGCAAACAGTAGCAGAAAAGTGATTCGCTATCGCGTGGCGCGAAATTGGTCTCGGACCGATTTTTTCGCGTCGGCCTTGCGGCATCGTTTTCTAGTCACAATTCTGGCGGTGAAGCGAGGGGAATTCCGGTGAGTTTTGTTTAAGGCCAAGTGTAAACAGGCCTTCCTGCCACAGACAAGACGCGCTGCACCGCTTGCGTGCAGTGGTCAATCGTGCGGTTGTATCATCCGTGGTTGCTGGAGAAACCATTCGTATAAGGCTGAATCATGGCGTGTTTTATATAATGTAGTCCATCTGATGCAACTTTAAAATTCGTATCATCAAGATTCTACTGTAGCTGGTATTTGCACAAGTGAGGTGTGTATTGTGCAGACGGCCACATTTAAGTCATTGTGGGATCACAAGCATGTCTCAGCTAAACAAGTGAGCTTTCAGAATTAAACCAAAGAAGTGCATAATGAGGTAAAGGTCTGTGGTTAAATAAATATGAAAAGAGAAGGCCATCTTTGTTGCGAAGGTAAAGTGCTGCACCATTTGTGCCACACTGTGCCTGCTATTGTCTGCCGTGCCATGTTGCTCTAAAACACATTGTTGCCCTGAAATTGCTCCAAAGCGGCTTTCATGTGCCACTCTTATCCGCAAAGTGGCGCACTAATGCGTGCCCCTGTCAGAAATAAAATATGTCAAAAGTGTTCTTCTAGCCTAGACATCTGCTCCTAAACTAACTTGTGTTGTGCTAAAGCTCACTCTTTGCAGCACTAAAGTTGCTTCAAAGCAGTAGCCCCCCCCCCCCCCCCCCCTCCCCAATCTGCTCCAAGAATCTGAAGGTCGCTTCCACCTCTGCTGTAGGCATAATATCTTGGTTGCAGCATGTACGTAAATGCTGGAACTATGCAAAAATTTCAAATACTGTAAAAATAAACTTTTTGGGCTACAATTTTAAGGGCACACTACTGTGAAGCAATTAATACATTTAGGTTGATAAATGTTACACTGAAAATTTCAATTCCATGAACTTCACTGTTATGGCATTAATAATGAAAGAGAAAACTAAGGTCAATGTCTCATTCTAAATTTTGTGCCGAAGTCTCTGTGCGTGGAGTCATGAATTTCAAAGTGCATTTATCATATTTTGGTGACATTGGCCCAATAAACTTTCCTGAATCTTGGTATGTTAAGTCTCTGGGCCCCTGAGATGACTGTGTACTTCATTTTCACTAATTAGAAACTCCGTAGGTCCTAGTAGATGCTGTCGAAATTTCTGATGCCGTGGTGATTCATACGGGAACTTCTTGGCATTGCCACTCACATTTTCTTTTTGCGTATTCAAACACTTACCAAGTATCTTGTCATGGTAATGCATGGTAATTTTGGTATTGCAAAATAGTGATTTAATAACATAAAAAAACTGTTCTCTATTTAGTGTCCCTTTATTGAAAGAAAAATTTTAATTGCTTAGAGACGTAAATCGGGACGTCTCGAGGGGCTAGTTGGTTCATTATTTGCTCATGTTCATACTGACGTCTACTCACATTCATGAGTACTCACTCACGTTCATACTCACGTCTACTCACAATCACAAGTCCTCTCTCACGTTCACACTCACGTCCACGTACTCCTACTCATGTGTACTCACTCACATTCATACTCATTACTACTCACACTCGTTTGCACTCACTCACTTCATACTCACGACTACTTACACCCATAAGCACTCACTCACTTCATGCTCACGCCTATTTACACTGACAGGCACTCACTCACGTTCATACTCGCGCCAACTCACACTCATAGGCCCTCACTCACTTTCCTACTCATGACTACTCACACTCATAATTACTCATTCACATTCACACTCACGCCCTTTTACACTCATGAGTACTCACACTCAACTCATGCCTACACACTCATAGGCACTGACACCTACTCACACATATCATCACTCACTCACGTTTATACTCGCGCCTACTCACAGTCATAGACTCACAGAAACTCCCTCTTGATCACACTCATGCCTATTCACACACATAAGAACTCACTCACGTTCACACTCACTCCTTTTCACACTCATACGCACTCACTCACTTTCATACTCACATCTCCTCATCATCATCAGCAGCAGCAGCAGCCTGAGTATGCCCACTGAAGGACAAAGGCCTGTCCCCTGTTCTGCCAGTCAACTTGGTCCTGTGCTTGCTGTTGTCACTTTATACCCACAAACTTTCTAATTTCATCTGCCCTCCTAGCTTTCTGTCTCCCCCTCACTCGCTTGTATTCTCTTGAAATCTGAAAATAAATCTACAAAAAATGAATGTGATGTACAACAACTTTGGAAGAGAACAGCGCTTTGGATAGGTGTCAGCACACTTGAAGTTGTAAAAGAGTACATCTACATAGGACAGGTTGTAACTGCAGAGCCGAACCACGAGATTGAAGTAACTGGAAGAATAAAACTGGGGTGGAGCACATTCGGCAAGCATTCTCAAATCATGAATGGTAGATTGTCATTATTCCTCAAGAGGACACAGCTGCATCTTACCTGTACTTACCTATGGAGCAGAAACCTGGAGGCTTACAAAGAGGGTTCAACTCAAGTTGAGGACGATACAGAGAACGATGGAAAGAAAAATGATAGGTGTAACCTTAAGGTACAAGAAGAGAGCAGAACGTATCGTGGAACAAAGGGGTGTTCAGGACATCATAGCCGAAATCAAGAAGAAATGTTGTTGGGAAGGGCATGTAGCACAAAGGCAAATAATCGCTGGTCATTAAGGATCACAGACATCTACTCATACCAATGAGTATTACCTAACATTCATACTCGCACTTACTATACTTAATGAGTGCTCATTCACGATTACTCGAACTCATAACCACTCGCTCACGTTCATACTCATTCCTACTTGCACTCATAAACAGTCACTCACTTTCCTACTCACTTATACTCACACTCGTAAGCACTCATTGATGTTATACTTAGGCCTACTCGGCACTCACTCTGGCCATGGTGGCCCCATTTTCGATTGAGGTGAAGGTGCTTGATGCCCGTGTGCTTAGATTTAGGGGCACCTTGAAGAACCCCAGGTGGTCTAAATTTCCTATCTAAATGATAGGATCACTTGCCATTGCAGTGCGTGTCGTTTGAGTCACTCAGCAGCATTTTCGGCAATAGTATTTTCACTCTCTAAACAGTGGTATCATGACCTTTCAGATAACGGTTCCGGATAACAGTACAGAATTGGTGCAAAAGCAGGTGCCTTTATTAATTGTCAATATGCGATCGTGTATAGACATTTTTTATGAGATTATTTTTTGTCAATTCGAGCATCAGCTTCTATGTTCCAGTGGCACCACAGTCGCTAAGGCTAGAAATATGCCTTCATAAATTATTTTTGTTTGTCCTCTATAGTTTAGTGTCCACAGAATGTACATGGGCATTCGCTTCACATTCGACCTCTTTGCCCGTGTCTGTAGGAGCCGCCTCTTAAAAATAGATTTCAGAATCACGTTCCCCAGCAAATGCACGCCCCGCCGTGGTGGTCTAGTGGCTAAGGTACTCACTCGGCTGCTGACCCACAGGTCGCGGGTTCGGATGCCGGCTGCGGCGGCTGCATTTCCGAT